TCATCACCATTATTCTTATTATTATTTTTATAAAGATTATTCGAATTAAAACGAGATAACATTTCATCAGTGATCTCAAATTTATTGCATCCCCTATTCATTTCAATACACTGACTTGTAAGTAAAAGTCCGTTAACAGTCGCTAGTTTAGCAAGGAGAAGCTCTTAGGATCTACCTGAGAAGCTTTCGAGAATCAAAAGAGCCGAGTTTGTCCGGCTCTGTTATAAATTAGAGAGAATTTGTATTTTTAAGGAGTGAAAATACCCTGAGACTGTTCAAATGACGATTTGTTCTACTATTAACAAAAGATTTTAAGAAAAACAAGGTAACAGGTTGGCACAAACAAATATCGTAGTCCCACTACTTACATATTACTATTTGAAATTATCGTACGTTTAATAGAAATTTGAGTTACGATATCGTATTTGAAGCAAAATTATCGTATGTCCCCATAATTATCGTACAGGCTGGCAACGCTGCAAGAAACTAACGGAGGCATAACCGGAACTATTGCGGAGTCATTTTAAAAAAATGAATTTTTTGCACCTTTCATTCAAGATGTTTAAAGTGGCTTAAGTGGTTTTACATTAATTGTAGTACAAAAATTTACTTACTTGCATTACATTCTTTCGGTGTTCTGCAAGCTTTTCAAGAAAAATATGGCCAAGTCCACGAGGGTCCATACGCAGAAAATTGTACGGTTCATTGCCTAAGATTTTTCCGCATCGTTTATTACCTAAAATTTATTGAAAATTTGACTTTCCACTACTTAATGTTAAAAAACATAAGGATTTACAACTACTTTTTCTGGAATCCATCTGTTTTCGACTATCAATCTCTCATTCTAAAATTGATTAACTAAAAAAATTGCTACTAGGAATAGCTTTAAACTATATTTCAACGTATGGACAAATGGGTTTATGCACTTAAATTTTGCTTAAATTGGAACATTTGCAAGAATTTAAAGAAAATTCAAATTGTCTTACGAACAAAAGAGACGTCTTACCGACCGATACATTTATTCAACTGGCAACAGATATTCAGTGCGGTAATATTTGTAAAATGTAAATTTTAATTACAGTTTTACTCCAATATAAAGAATACTTTGTCGTTTGACGATTGTATTTTTTATTTGCAGAGATTTTACGTGTATTGCATAAGGCGCGTGGATCAGTGTGAAACAATGTATAAGATAATGTAAGCTAAAATTTTATTATTTATTGCATCATCTCAGTTTAAATGTTCATATAGATCAAAATTTGTTTAGTTATTTCTGTGTTTATAGCGTTGCAACTTTCTCTTTATAAATAGTTTTAGCATAAGAATATCACTTTAGTGCCTTTTGGTGTATATTATTTGAATACCAAGAAAACACTAACAGTAACGAATAGCAATTTATATACAACAAGAACAAAACGAAAACACAAGTAACAAAGGCACAAGGAGTGAAACAAACAAACGAGAACAAAGTGACAAAAAGAAAAAAATAATGCAACAATAACAATAACAAAGACAACAAAAATGAAAATAATACAGATAAAAGCAGAAACACTTACAAATGGTAGTATAGACGGTAGACGAGAGACTCCCCTTGACATCATCATCATCATAAGGTCATCAGTCTTAAGACTGGTTGGACACGTACCTCCACTCTTTCCTATCCTGAGCTAAACTTCGCATTTCCCTAAAACTAGAACAGCCCANACGTTAAGTTAATTCTCTTGTTATTATTTTTGGTTAAATATGCTTTTAAATAAAGCATATTCGTAAATTTTAACGAGACAGTTTAAATAATTTTGCAAATGGTACTGTAGACTTTTGTCTAGTTCTCGCTCGATAAATGGGTGGAGAAATGAGCTCCGCAGACAAATATGATTGAATTTGGAATTATGCTACGGCGCATCCTAATAAAGGGAAAGGGCATATCTCTAACTTCCTGAAATGAACAGTATGTTAGTGTGAGCTTAGTCATTTGCTCAACTTTGGACTTTTCAAATAACATTCACAGTGGTACAGCAGTGTGGTAAAACGTATCACTGACTCCAATTAGTATAACATTATAAGATAAATCTTAGTATAAAATGAAACGATTACAATTCTTTATCGTCTAGTTAATTATCAATTTCATAGGGATAGTCACATACCTATGTGTAACATACACTCTTCTTAACATTTATTTCATAATAATTGAAAACCAATACATTTTCTGATGGCACAATTTATTAAAGATACAACAATTGAAAGGTAAACAACCACTAGTATTAACTATTATTGTTTTTAAATAGTGAATTGTATAAAAACTTTAAATAGCGTTACTAAATAATTTTTTCATTGGCAATTAATACTTTGTAGCATTTCTTTTAACATACGACGTTGGGGTTTTCCCGTTGCCGTTAAAGGTATATTGTCAATTAATATAACGCCTCCTCTTAACCTTTTGCGATCATCGACACGATCGTCAACAAACTCCTTTATTTCATCAGGGTTAATATCGTAACCTTGTTTAAGGGTAACGAACGCTACAGGGTGGTCACCATCTATGTCGTGGGGTATTCCTGTTACAACACATTCTTTAATCGCTGGATGTTGTAATAGTACGTCTTCCAAAATCGCAGGACTTACTGGAAATGATTTGTACTTCAGCATGTCTTTACATCTACCAATAATGTAAATAAAATCTTCGTCGTCATAATATCCAATATCTCCTGTTTTGAACCAACCTTGAGAATCGTAAGCATCTGACGAGTCCACTCCATAGTAACCGTTCATTAATGTATGGGATCGGAGGCGGATTTCACCATGTTCCATAGGGCCTACGGTTTCTTCAGTATCCAGGTTTACAATCTTAGAAAAAAAATGGTACTAATGTAAATCCTAAACATTGCAATCTGGAAAATTCAAGGTATGCTCATGATTTTAATGGTGATCTACGAGGGAGTAAGCCTCGAAAATCACATTTCAAAATTTACATTTTCGGTTTTTCGTAAATAACATTCTTTCTGTCAATAGTAAGTGGTACAATGCATAATTAATAACAAAGGGTGGTGATGGAATGATACTCATTTTGTAGCACCCAAAAATTCGTAGGAATTAGTAAGCATAACTTACGGAGTTGTAGTTCAGTATAACAATTAATTAACTCTATCTACTATTTACCATACATACTATATTGGATAGAAATATCAACCGTACACATGTCTTCGTTACTGAGTACTTGTATCAGTATTATACGAATAGTGATGAGCAAATGTTCGAAGCATTCAGTTTTGTACTAATATGCATACATAGTGCAGCCTTCCACTATGACAGATTTAATCATCATCGTCATCATCATCATAAGGTCGTCGGTCCTAAGACTAGTTGGACATGCATCTCCACTTTTTCCTATCCTCAGCTAATTAATCATCGCATTTTCCTAAGACTAGAACATCCCACATACTTAGCTATTTTTGAACAGTAATCCAATTTAGGTCTACCTCTACTCCTCTTAACTCCTTTTTCTGCCTATAATATGTATCTGACTAGACCTTCATGCCGGAGAAGGTGTCCTAAAAACCTATCTTGCCTATTCCTTATTGACTTCCATAGAGTTCTCTGTCCACCTATTACTGAAGTTGAAGTCTCCTAAAACTATTAGGTTTTCTTGCCCCTTCACTAAACTTAACATGTCTTCTATATCTGCATAAACCGCTTCTACGTCTTCACCATTGTAAGATGGTGTAGGCATGTAGACCTGCACTGATACCGTTTTCATCGGCTTCGAGTTATCCATAACTATCCTATCGCTTTTTTGTAAATAAGTTTCTACATTCTGCCATGCTTTCCTCCGTATTACAATTCCTACTCCCGAATTACCTTCCACCAATCNTTTATTTGTATACATTCAATAAAATTTAATTGTTTATGGACTCTAAAAAAGGAACTTTCTGTCAGGAAAGTTTTTATAGAGTCATCTATTGATGGTATAATAGAATTGAGAAAACCACTGGGGTATACAGACTTTCTTTACAAATTCATACTCCCACCACTTGACTATCACTCCGATGCGCATGCGCAATAACGTACGATATTTTTGATATTAATACGATAATTTATCCCAAAGAGTGCGATAATTCTATCTACTGAACCTGGCAACGCTGGTTTCTTGCGAGATCTTCTTCTATTTATGAATAATTAGCTGTACTCTGTGCACGTTGCTACGACACCAACTCAAATAAATTTGAAGGAAAGGCATTACACAAATATTCAATTCATTTTGAGTCATTTAATTGATTTTATTAATTTCGAAAAAACTGTAAGATTGCAACGTTTCGTTTCAATGCGATATTTATTGAAGTGCTGTGGGATACACAATATTTCTTGTTTTTCCTGTCAAAACCAACTCAGAAACCTTCTTTAGCTCATGCACAACATTAGAAATGAAGAGGTATTGGAAAGAAAGAAGGTTTTAGAAGGAATAAGAGAACAGAGGACTCTATGGAAGTCAATAAAAAATAGGCGAGATAGGTTGGTAGGACACCTTCTCAGGCTTGAAGGTCTAGTCAGAGACATATTAGAGGCAGAAACAGGAGTTAGGAGGGGTAGAGGT